AGTTCTACCAAAATATCTTAAAAGTCCTGGCGAACACCTCCTGGGGTGCAGAGCGTTGCTCCATGCTTCGCATTTACAGAGCTCTAATTCGCTCTAAAACTGGACTACGGCTCAGTTGTTTACGGATCTGCCCGGTCTTCAGTGTTGTTAAAACTAGATCCTGTTCATCATCAGGCTCTGCGGATTTGTTCTGGAGCCTTCAGGACATCTCCTGTGCAGAGCCTTTATGTTGACTGTCACGAGCCATCACTCCGTTTGAGGCGTGAGGAGTTGCTCTTTTACGCTATTTTAATATTTTATCTCAACCTGACCATCCTTATAACTTGTGTATATGTGAAAATAGCTGTGACCTTTTATTTGAGGCACGTCCATCCTGTGTGCCTTCTTTTCCTGTTAGAGTTCGTCCCCTCATTGAAGAATTCTCCCTGTTTGATATTTCCCCACAGGCAGTACAGCATTTTGAAATTGCACCTTGGGAAAATGCACTAATCCACCTTCCACCTTCTTGACATTTTCCACAATTACGGAAAAACAACTACTGAATGAGAGCATCTACAGACAAATTTTTGCTGAGCACAGGCAGAGTTACAGGAGTTATGTTTCCCATATATACGGATGGCTCTAAGTCAGCTTGCCATGTTGGCATGTCATGTTATAATTGGTGACCACATGGAAGGCAGACGTTTACACGACGCTTCCTCTGTCTTAACCTCCGAACTGACTGCCATATATTATGCGCTTTTGTACATCTCAACGCTGCACCATCGAAAATTCATTGTATATACGGACTCCTACAGTGCATTGAAAGCTTTAGAATCCTTTTCTAGCACTGAGAATCCTGTGATAGTGGATGTTCTCAAGTTGAATATTAAATTGACAATGTCGTGGATTTGAACTTCTGTACTCTGCTGGGTCCCCGGACATACAGGAATAAAGGGCAATGAGCTGGCGGACATCGCAGCAGCGAAATCTGCTGTTGAAATGTCCGGCCGCCTCATCCCTTTAAAAGATATCCGTTGTGTCATAAAAGAGAAGATCCGAAAGAAATGGCAGCAACTTTGGGACCTTCAACTTCATAACAAGTTGAGAAGGGTGAAGCCTAAAATAGAGCATTGGGATACTACTACTAGCAATCGCAGGAGGAGGAAGTTCTTTTGACTCGCCTTAGAATTGGTCACAGTAGAGTGACACATAACTACCTTCTGAAAGCTGAGAACGAGCCTATTTGTGCAACTTGTAATGTTTGTCTTTCAGTTTATCACATTTTAATTGAATGTTCATATTTTAATAATCTTCGTGAGAAGTATTTTAATAGCTGCGACCTGCCTCTCGACCGTTTAATCGGAAGAGAGGTCAATAATAATTTGTTTCACTACCTCAAGGAAACAGGTTTCTATTATTTAATTTGATTTTTGTCCTGAGATTTTATGTTGGAATTTTAATTAATCAGATGTTTTAGGATTTTATATCTATACTGCATCTCTCATTATCAAAGTTATAATCAGCATTTTCATCCCATCATTTAAATATCTTTTTACTTGCCTCGATTTTAAAAGTGTGCTGTTGTCTTTATATTTTTTGTTCCTTTAGTTTGTATGTTAAAAAAAAGAATCCTGTGCTTGGCGCATATGGCCTATTGAGCTTTGCGCCATAAAACTACTACTACTACTACTACTAAATTAACAGGCGATGAAGAAGAAGGATCGACACTAATTGAAGGTTGAGAAACCTGAGGTGAGGTTGAGAGTTCTGAAAGAGTATCAGTTTGTGTTTGAATAGATTGAAATGTAACAGAAGGTTTATGAAAAAATTCTTGAAGAGGCTGCAAAGAAGTTTGAATATGAGAAATGTCACGAGTAATGGGGGCCAAAATCTGAGCTACCTGCTGATGGAGATCGGTAACCAATGCCTGTGAAGTACGAAAATGCTCTTGTTGAATGACAATATCTCTGATCTGATTGAGATAAGAAGACAAAACTCGCAAATCAGCAGTGGAAAGCTTATGCCTGCCACGATGACGCTCTAAATGACTTTGAGTATTGTTCAACAAGGTGATTATCTGATCAGCTGGCTGCTGAGATATGTGTTCAGAGAATTCCGAGGCAGATGGAGAAAGTAAGTTAGGAGCGTTAAACGAAAGAGTTCGAGAAACAGAATGATGGGAACGAGGAGAAGGAGAATCTATGTGATTATCAGGAGAGGGCGGGTGACACGAGTGTAATGACGCCTTAACTTTAGGAGATTCTGTGACAACTGTGTGTATGGATAGTGGACTAGAAAATTGCGAATTGATTTCGACACGTGATTGGAACGCCGCCAAAGAGTCAGTATGTGATGTTGAAAAAGTCTCAGTGTCGGGTAAAAGTGAGGTTGTATCAATGGATTTATCAGATAAAATATCATGGAGAACTACAATTGGTAATGTAAGACAAGTATCATCAGGATGAGAAGATTGCTCATAAACTCCCTCCATGTGCAATGATAATTGGAGGAAAACAAATAAAGAAAATATATATTAACAATAAAAGAAAAATTATACACATTCAATGCACAAGATGAGAGAGTAATTAAACATTACCTTAATATGAGACAATTAATACTATACAAAAGGTTAAAAATTAAAAAGTAATAAATACTTGTAAAGTAAAAAATAAACTTTAGTGAAAAAAATTAAATAATTAAACAATAATAAAAAAATTAAAATGACGATTTAAGCACAATTAGACCCACCACACGTCATATCCAAAAGAAAATAAAGTGAATGTTAAAACAGTATTTATGAACCACGCTAACTGTAAAATGGGCTTCTCTGTGATATAAGTACCCTTGCGGTAGATCACTTTTACAGGCAAGGTAAAAGGATGAAGTTTCGAACAGCAAGAGCTAGTATGTGATGGAAAGACACAGAAGACCAGATACCGTATTTTGACGAAAACTTAAAAAATTTAAAAAAAAAAAAAAAAAACTATCGTTCAGAGAGATAATTTGGAAGAATTTTCCTTTGTTTTGAGGAATAAGGAGTAATATAAAAATATATTCAGAACGTTTGAAAAAACTGTACTACATTTTAGAATAGCGCGAAAAGACAATGGATGGTATTATGAAAAGTTGCGATTGTTAAGGAGGAACATATATATTAAAGGATATGATAGAAATTAGGGGTGGATATGACGTAATGGATAATTACAAGGAAAAGTGGCGTAAGATAGCGTCTCTGACGCTGAAATTAAATTAGTCCATATATTAATCTTAATACATATCCCAAAGGATGTACAGAAAAGGTTTGGCGATTTTTATAAGCGCTGTTTAAGCCAATGTGGCAGACGTAAAATAATATACAATGTCTTAAAACGATGTTAAACTGAGATTTAAATGTAAAAAAGGTGAAATATAAATTATATGAAATACAATTAAAAAAGTTTAAATAATAATAAACTCATAAATTCGGTAAGTACTGTATAAAAAATAATTTAGGAAGATACAAAAATCGCCAAGAAGAACTCCATCTTGAATTCAAGCTTGTTCAATATTAGACTAAAGCGAATAGAAAAAAAAAAAAAAAAAATGAATAATTAATGAAAATTAATGATAAACACTGCTTTTACTATTAAAAAACTAACACGTTAAAAATATACCTCAATAACACTATTATAAACTGTTATTAAAATGCACATAATAAACTAAACAGCGCCAAGCATGATTTGGCGACGAACAGTAAGGCAAACAGACATAAAAACATGTATAACTTGTGAAAGAATACTCCGATTACTAAAAATTCTTTCTGATAATGATAGAGCACAAAATTCCGCACAAAAAACACACTTGGAGCCGAGAGTGACAACAAAGTTTTCAAATAGAATTAAGCAAAATAAACGCGCACACCACACACTTGACACTCATATGAAGACTGAAGAATGAGAATATTTTGCAAAAGATTGCGCGGATTGAGAAAATGACTGCAGATAATTTGTAAGCACAATAAATCACACAAATCACTCTCTTGGATACTAAGGATATAACAAGTTCTTCAGGTAGTATTTCACTATTGAAGTACCAAAATACACTGGAAACACAGATGTAGAGATGAAGTCACACTTGAAGCTTGAAAATGAATGCACGAATTGGGATAAATGTGTCAGATGTAGACGAAGCTCTAAATTTCATGCAAATCACACACTTAAATGCACTCAATATTACTAATACTTCAGGTAGTATGTCGTTGCAAAAACACAAACACACATCGCAAACACAGATGTAGTGATGTAAACAGAACGAAGTAACACACCAATTGAAGCACTATAGATCGATTCAAATGGAAGATTCACTAAAACTCAGTGTAGAACTGTGCCGAAAATCTCAATAAAGTTGCAAACAGTGTTGTGAATCTTGGAAATATGATGAATGGAGTACATCGCTGAAGCGCTGGGTGTGGTCGAATCAGTATGAATAGTTACAGGTATATAACTATAATTCAAGTAGAAAAGTAAATTCCAAAGGACTCATACGACATTCATATACGTAAATATAATAGATATGCTTTCCAAAATGAAGAGAAATAGTAATTTTGACACATATTTGCGGGAACAACAAAATCACTAGTGACGACAGGTTCGAAGTGTAAGTTGTAGTTGTAGATAGGGACAGGTACACCACTGATCAGGCCTCCGTCCTAAGGTAAGCCAAGCGGAGTAACGCCTGATCAGTGAAACTATTCTACCACTAGCAGCCGCCATCACCTGCAGGAAGGACCGACAGGCCAGCGAGCATTTATTAATCAAAATACAATTTTACAAATTTACAGGGTCACAAAATTTGGTAACATACATCTTTTACATGTGCTATTCTATATAAACAAACAAAGTTTAACATGATTGTACAAAATAAATATATACATATGACAAGATACAATAATAATAAATATAAAAATTAAAAAGATAAATAAAAATAAATAAAATATAAGAAAAACAAAACTTCTCTGATGTAAGGTGCATTGTAAGCATCTAGAAGGCATAGAGTTCATTACATATATGCAAAATCCTTATAAGTCTATTATGGCTTCCATTATGTTTCAGGAGGGGTTGAGCCCACTGACCCCTATGCCTTTCAGCAGGTATATGGAAGTGGTGCGATCGAGTTAGTTCACAATGAAAGAGAAAATGATCCGGAGATCCTCTCTGGCCACAGTTGCATAAGTCCGTGTCTTTTAGGCCAAAGCGGAAAAGATAATCCGGAAAAGGACCATGTCCTGAAAGAAACGTAGTTAAGGCAGATGATGTGACAAGTCCTGTAGTATCTGGTTTCGACAGAAAGTTATAAGTTCTGCGGCCAGTGGTGGAGTTGTTCCATAAGTCTTGCCATTTAGTAAGCAAGTTCAGGAAGGTGGAGCGCTTAAGCTGTGATCGTGGCAATGGGAGGTAGAATTCCAGCAGAGAGGAGTTCATAGCCGCATCTTTGGCTCGAGTGTCCGCAATTTCATTGCCCACGATACTGGTGTGTGCTGGCACCCATGATAAACTAGGCCGAGCTGTAGGCGTCAGATTGAGTATCTGTCTCTGTATTTTTTGGACAATAGGATGTCTGCTCAGTCCACCTCCTAGTGCTTGAAGACTAGGCATTGAATCACTGTGGATCTGGACCTGTGTTCGAAATTTGCTGGCAATGTTAATTGCTTTTTGAATAGCAGTCAACTCAGCCTGATAGACTGTATTATTGATGTTAAGTCTCCTTTTCCATTTGGCTATAACTGTGTTGTCATTCATCACACAGAGTCCTGAACCAGTGCCTGAGTACATTCTGGAGCCATCTGTAAAAATATTCACTGTGTTAACGCCAAGTCCTAAGTATTCTAAGTTGACATGCTTATATAGGTCATGAAGTGCCGGATGACATGGTATTTCGTGTACACTGGCTTCATAGGTATTGGAGAGGTAATGATGGCCCCAGAGTGAATGATCTTAGCGAAGGCGGAGGACACGACAGATTGTAGCTTCTCTTTTGGCTATCAGATCCAGGGGAGGAAGGCCCGTCAGAATCTGCAGAGCTCTTGTAGAGGTTGTTCGGTAGCCTCTGCTGATGCTCAATAGATGAGGACGTTGTATGGTGTTAAGCAGACGTCGTTCATGTGCTGTGAGTCTAGTAGCCCAGATGCCAGAGCCGTACAGTGCCAGTCTCTGTGTGACAGTAAGGTACCATTGCTTAAGCAGTTTGGAGGAAACTCCCCAAGAAGCTGCAGCAGTTCTTTTGAGCGTTTTGCTTAGGTGAAGAGTGCGAGACTGTATATATCGTAAATGCGGGATCCAAGATAAGCGATGATCTAGGATGATTCCCAGAGAACGCATTTGTCGAACAATTTTAATGGAGGTGCCCATTAGTTTGATAGATGGTTTTCGCTTGAACAGGCCATTAGCACCTATCACCAAGGCTGTTGTTTTGGGAACAGAGATTGTAAGCTTGTGTTCTCTTGCCCACGAAGCAAAATGATCAAGATACTGCTGAGTGATCATTTCCAAGCGTGATTTGCCACTGGTGATGAGAATAAAATCATCGGCGTATGCAATAATTTTGAAGTCTTCAGAATTATCCAGTTTTCTAAGAATTGAATCAGCTACCAATGTCCATAATAAAGGTCCCAAGCAAGAACCCTGGGGACACCCACGTTGCAATTCATGAACTATAGTACAGGCATCAGTTGTAATCTGTACGGATCGGTTGCACAAGTAGCTGCGAATGTGGTCTTGCAGGTCTGACGGACACTCCATAGTGGCCAGGGCATCGGTGATGTCCGGCCACCACAAAGAGTCAAAAGCTCCCTGTATATCTATGCTGGTGACCAAAGTGTGTAAGCCAGTCTGTTGGTTCTGTCGGATGGTGGTAAGTAAATCCTCGATGGCGTGTTCAGCCGAAAGACCAGTGCGAAAGCCATATTGATTGGCAACAAGCAGGTTGTTCCGTTGGAGAAAAAAGTTTAATCTCCCCAAGACAAGTCTTTCTAATAATTTACCATAGGCCGGTAGAAGGCAGGTGGGTCTGTAGGAGGTGGGCTGAGAGGGATCTTTCTTTTTTGTGAAATAAAACTACTTCAGCCCTTTTGGTGGCAGTAGGGAAATGACGTGCTCGCCAGCAGGCTTTAGCAAAAGCCAGAGTTAAGGTGGGAGCAAATGAGTGTATCATCTGAATAATTCGATTGTCAATTCCATCAGGTCCTGGCGCCTTTGAAGGGTTTAACTTTGTGACAATGTGCTTGACTCCCGCTTCACTGGGAAGAGGTTCCAACGTGGGATGGAAAAAAGAATAGTTGTGGAAGTTAGCTCTCAGTGATTCATGAACAGTGGTGTCCTCCGTAGCGTCGTCCGTCTGGAACAACGAGCTCATTACAAAGCGAATAGTGTCCGCAGGATCTCTAGCCGTATTTAGAATAGAGGAGGGAAGAAGTGAAGGATGAAACACTTTATCCATGGCCATATGAAAGGTAGTGCCATATTGCTCGATGGTATGAGAGCAGTACTTCCTCCACGATTCTTCTTTTGCGACATTTATGTGTTGCTTGTAATGCGCTTGAGCTTTTTTAAATTTCGTGAAAAGTTGCATTTTGACTTCGATAATAGGCTCAGTTTGAGTCTGTCGTCGGAGTTTGCGTAGGTGACTTCTTTCACGGGCAAGTTGGCTGTTCCACCAAGCGGCACTTTTGCGTATTTTTACTTGTCGGGTCCTAAATGAGTGCTGACAGGCAGTAACAACCACCTCAATAAATCTATTGTACGTGGTATCAAGTTGTTCAGCAGTGCTAGATTCATTAAAAGCTGCTATAAATGAATCAACAGAAGGAGTCAGAGAATGTCTCAGCTTGTCCAGGCCACCGAAAGCTGTTTTGAATCTCCTTTTCTGCTGTATGTCAAAGCTGGCATTAAGGCTGAAAGTAATTGCATTGTGGTCACTGAGGGTGATCCAATCGACGACTGTCCAGTCTGTAATTTTGTTCGCTATTTTAGGGGTGGCAAGTGTTATATCCAGCCATCCTTTAGCTCTAGAGGTGAGAAAAGTCGGAGGAGAGTCTGCGGCATTTATTATTGCAAGATGATTAGACTCAATAAAATCAAGCAGGTAGGCCGAACGTGAATCTTCATTTGGGGAACCCCAAAGGCTGCTTGCGGCATTTGCATCTCCACCTAGTATGATATTGATGAAGGAGCAGGTCCTAATATAGTCGAGTTCAGGTAGAATCTGATCCAGGTCTACACTAGGAGGGAAGTATGCCGAAATCACGAGCAGGTTACATGTGATGACTATAGAAATGGTATGTGTGGTGGCCCTCCAAATAGTTGGTGACATAAGGCCATTATAAACTATGGCAGCTTTGCTATTAGTGGATAAAAAGATCTTATTTTGTGCTGTGGATCCTGTAAGAGTGTTGTCACGATTGATATGAGGCTCCTGTAAGAGGGCTAAAGCTATACCTTGCTCAAATTGTGTATGTAGCATAGTAGCAGTTGCAGCCCGAGATTTTTGTAGATTACATTGCAAGAAGCTTAAATCCTTCATATGGAGAATAGGCTCAGTAGCTGCCGATTGGAAATCTGAGTTCATTATTCTGCCTGTTGGAGTGCGCGTTGCAGCTCCTGTCTGTATGATGGACATGATCTCGAATTCGCAGAGTGCTAGCAATCAAAGTCTGTTCCTTTTTTAATGTTGTTGTTAATGCAATTAGAACAATTTGGAGGTGCCGTACACGTGTCTTCGTTCTGTTCGTGAGAACCTGCACAGTTTACACAGACAGGGGAGTTCTTGCAAATCTGCTTGTATGTCCTAACCCCTGACAGTTGAAGCACCGAAACACTCTGTAATACTTTCTAAAAGGGCAAGAGTTGAAGCCCAAGAAGAGTCTGCCACTGGTGCCAAGTTTCTGTGAGTAGTCCTTATCAAGGCTAATTACCCAGTTATTTTTTGCGTCTGATCGTGCAAGAGTGTACGCTGGTTAATGGCTCCTTCGTTATCTGTTGGCAAATGTGCTTGAAAGGCTTCTATTAAATCCTGTGTACTCAGTTCTTCTGGCACTCCAAAAAGAATGATGGAGTCCCTTTGCGGTTTTGGCTCTCGAATTTTAACACTCTTATGTAGCTGTTGCTCTGAATGTAGAGAGTCTTTTAATTTGGTTAGATGTTCTTTGGTGTGGCAACGAATGAGGAGCTCTTGAGAACGAGTGGGCGGATCTGCTGAATTGGGATGCCAAGTTTGGTTAGATTGAGCTTAGAAGCCAATTGATGTTGGAGGGCTGACGGAGAGGTTGTTGAATCCGTAGGAGCAACAAGAAGAACGTGCTCAGATAACTACTGCGTTTGTTGGGGCCGCTTTTTCTTTCGCTGAACCAAGTGGAAGGGAGCTTCTTTTGCAGTACTCTGCACGACTTCAGAATACAAAGATCTATCAGAAGTAGGTTGAGGCGTCGGTAGATGGGAAATAGGTTCTATAATGGACAGAACCTTTTTTAGTGAATCCGATTGCCCGTTCAATATGTCCAGTTGTGCCTGTTGTGCGTTAATTAGCAGTTCTTGTTCTAAGAAAATTTTTTGTGCAAAGTCAATAAAGTCGGTAAGGATTTTAGTGTCGTCTCTATTCAGCTTATGCTTGGCACGTCTTTCTCTTAAAAACTTATAAATAAAAGAGCTATGTGCAGCAAAACTTTGTGCTCTCGGAGTTGAAGAGTCAATAGTTGGAGCAATAAAAGTATCCTCAGAGGTAATTGAAGTAGTGGCTATTGGCACGACGTTATTATCATTGACGGCCATCAGGCTAATGAATCATCAGTGATGAAACTTGGTAATGTTGTCCCTTCAGGGGATCATCTTCTTGATGAGACGGGTGTCACGATCCTGGAGCCCCAGTGATCTATCCTCTTTTCCGTTTTCCTCTCCTCTTCTCTACTACCTCTTCCCTTTCCTTCTCCCTTGTGGTTTTTCTCTTCGGAGTTTGGGGCTCGTCATGAGAAACTGGAACACCCCTTGTCTCTAGTTTTCAATTGCCGAGAAAACTGCCCACGTGTTTGCCGTGCGTGGAGACCCGTGTCGCTGGAAAGGAGGGTCCTGGTAGTTGAGGGGCGAGGTACTGTCCCCAACACACTGCTTTGGCCTCTGCTTCAGCTAAACGGGAGGCACCTTAGTCGTCCTCACGGGTGTCAATCGGCTGGTCACTAGTCCTTGTGTCAGTGGCTTGGGGTCAAGCTCTCGGGAGTACCTGCTTTCGGGAAAGCCGACTGTGGGGCTTCAGTTTGCGTATAGGTCCGGCTAGCCCTAACACAGGAATCTGTGTTCCCTTGTTGGGCTCCGTGGTGGGCGGGGCCGTCGGACCCGAATCTTTTTTCTTTCAAATATGGCGAATTCTCAAATATTTTTAATTAAAGACTTTGAAGTCAGTCAAGTAGCTCCAAAGACTAATTCTTCTGAACAGTCAACTGCTAAAAAAATACGTACTGATCCCGATGTCAACAATCCTAAGAATAGTCCACGTTTCCTTGTAGTATCAAGCCCTTCTGGCGAAATGCAAAAGTTATCTCCATTCGTAATTAGCAAGCATATTCAATCTTCTATAGGAGAACCAAGAAATATAAAACGTCTTCGGTCTGGAGATTTGCTGATTGACACAGCTACGGCCATACAGTCTGCCTCCCTCCTTCGACTAACCAAGCTCGGGGAAGTAAATGTCACTGTATCTGAACATAAAACACTAAACTATTGTAGAGGTGTAATTTCGGAATTTGACCTTTTGTCTGTTTCCGAAGAAGAGTTAGTTTCCGAGCTTGCCAATCAGAAGGTGTGTGCTGCCAGGCGGATCAAGATGCGTAAGGAAGGTCAGTTGATAGACACAAAACACGTGATCCTGACCTTCAAGTCGCCTGATCTGCCTAAGAATATTAAGGCTGGCTATCTCAATTGTCCTGTACGCCCGTATATCCCAAACCCGATGCGATGCTTTCAGTGCCAGCGTTTTGGCCACACTAAGATCTCCTGCCGTGGCAAACTCACGTGTGCACGTTGCTCCGTGGCTGGCCACAACAGTGACGCGTGTACTGCTGCCCCACTGTGCATAAACTGTAAGGGTGAACATGCAGCTTTCTCACGCTCATGTCCCAAATGGAAAGCAGAGAGGGAAATCCAGGCTGTTAAACATAAGAGAAATATATCATATGCAGAAGCCAGAAGGATAGTCGAAGGCACTCAACCACGAACAGGGATGTCTTTCGCTAGTGCTGCAAAATCAAAGCGATCTGTTGGTACCCAAACTTCAGTAAGCACACAAAGACCAGCACCAAAAATCCAACCCGCAATAAGCAAGCCAAAAATAGACAAACCAACACTGGAAATGCAGAAAACCGAAACAGTAAGCCCAAACAAATTAAAAAACCTCACTCAAGAAGCAGCAAAGAAAGAAACAAGTGCAAGTAATAGTTCATTTGATGAAATGATTTCTGACTCCTTTGATTCAGATAACATGGAAGTAGAGCCAGGGTTAGAAATTCCCAAACATCTACTTCCACGCAAAACCAAAACGCAGCACAGAAAGACTAAACATCATTCATAAATGGCCAATCTCATATCATGGAACTGTCGTGGTTTCCACCAAAATCTCGTTCATATCAAACATCTGATTGATGTCTATCATCCTGTGTGCTTGGCAGTTCAGGAAACTCTATTGAAACCAGAACATCAGGTTAAGCTACGGAGGTACAATTCAAACAGGAAAGATAATCCTGATGGCAATCGTGTCTGTGGAGGCGTAGGAATTCTAGCGTCACTAGACTACCCTTCCAGCTCCATCTCATTACATACAGGCCTCCAAGCTGTAGCTATTGCAGTCAATATCCAAAATTTAGTTTCGATTTGCTGCCTCTACTTGCCTCCAAGCCAAAACATCGATCAACGAGATTTAGATAATTTAATAGAACAGCTGCCTGAACCTTTTATTATAATAGGTGACTTTAATGCCCATAGCCCGCTCTGGGGAAGTAAGGATTTAAATTCTCGAGGTAGACAGATTGAGCAAATGATTGAAGATCACTGCCTCTGTCTTCTCAACAATGGACAAAATACCTATTTCCACGAGCCTACTAGAACCTTTCATGCTATTGATCTTGCCATCTGCTCGCCATCTCTTTTACCTTTTGCTTCGTTCAATGTAGGGAATGAACCATATAATAGTGATCACTTTCCCATTTTTGTTAGCCCTCAGGGGCTCACTTTTGTGAGTACGGGTGTGGCAATCCCGAGGTACCCTAGCCCTTCAGGGGATCATCTTCTTGGTGAGACGGGTGTCACGATCCTGGAGCCCCAGTGATCTATCCTCTTTTCCGTCTCCTCTCCTCTTGGCTGGAACTTTTTCCCTTCCCTTCTCCCTTCTCCCTCGTGGTTTCTCTCTACGGAGTTTGGGGCTCGTCACGAGAGACTGGAACAGACCTTGTCTCTAGTTTCGAGTGGCGAGAAAACTGCCCACGTGTTTGCCGTGCGTGGAGACCCGTGTCGCTGGAAAGGAGGGTCCTGGTAGTTGAGGGGCGAGGTACTGTCCCCAACACACTGCTTTGGCCTCTGCTTCAGCTAAACGGGAGGCACCTTAGTCGTCCTCACGGGTGTCAATCGGCTGGTCACTAGTCCTTGTGTCAGTGGCTTGGGGTCAAGCTCTCGGGAGTACCTGCTTTCGGGAAAGCCGACTGTGGGGCTTCAGTTTGCGTATAGGTCCGGCTAGCCCTAACACAGGAATCTGTGTTCCCTTGTTGGGCTCCGTGGTGGGCGGGGCCGTCGGACCCGAATCTTATATTTTCTTAATCATGGCTTCTCTTTTTATTTAAAAAAACCTGAATCAAATGACTCGAAGAAAGATATAGAAATCGTTGACAAATCGATTAACAAGAAGATCCGTACGGATGAAAATACCAAAGATATTGAAAGTTACTGACAAATCCAGTTACCAAGAAGATCCGCACCGATGCAAATGCCAAAGAATTCTACTGATTCTCCGCGCTTTGTTGTTGTTTCTAGTCCTTCTGGAGAATTGCAAAAGATGTCTCCTTTCCTGTAAACAAATACATTCATTCCTGCGTATTGGTGAGCCAAGGAACATAAAGCGTCTCCGTTCTGGAGACTTGCTTATTGATACCCTTTCGGCCACCCAGTCTGCTTCACTTTTACGATCAAACCAAACTTGGACAAGTAGCTATAACAGTGTCAGCACACAAAACACTTAATTACCTGTAGAGGCGTGAATCTCGGAGATCGACCTTCTGTGTGTTTCAGAAGAAGAGTTCGTCTCCGAGTTAGCTGACCAAAATGTCTGTGGTGCTAAGGCGGATCAAGATGCGTAAAGGAAGGTCAAGTTGATTGACACGAAACACGTGATCCTGACCTTCAACATCGCCTGATCTGCCGAAGAATATTAAGGCTGGATATCTTAAATTGTCCTGTAAGACCATATATTCCCAAACCCAATGCGATGCTTCCAATGCCAGCGGTTTGGTCCACTTCTAAGACATCCTGTCGTGGCAACCCTTACGTGCGCCAGATGCTCACAGTTGGTTGGCCACGATAGTGATAATTGTACCGCTGCGCCATTGTGTGTTTAAATGCAAGGGTGATCACCCAGCATTTTCTCGCTCTTGTCCCAAAATGGAAATCTGAAAAGGAAGTGCAGGCGACAAAAGTAACTCGAAATGTGTCTTATGCTGAAGCCCGGAAAATAGTACAAAGCTCACAAGTGCGCCCAAATTTATCTTTTGCCAATGCGGTTAAGTCCACAAGATCAGTTGCCATCCAAACATCTTTCATTTCAACAAAAAGCCAAGAGCCTCAAACTAATAACAAAAACAAGAAAGACCCACTTCACACAACCCAGAAGAAAGAAATAGTAATTCAGAAAAGTCCAAAAACAAGCCTACAAAAAACAGCTAACAAAAATCGAAACCTGAGCAGTAGTTCAATTGACGATTTAATATCTGACACCCCGGACTCGGATAATATGGAAATAGAAGAAGGAATGGAAATCCCAAAACACCTGCTCCCTCGAAAGACAAAAAAGGAGCACCGAAAAAATAAACAGGAGACATAATGGCCACCCTTATCTCTTGGAATTGTCGCGGTTTCCACCGAAATTTGCTTGACATCAAAGCTATAATCAATACCTATATCATCCTGTGTATGCTTAGCAATACAAGGAAACAAATCTGAAACCAGGAACAACAAGCAAAACTTCGGAGGTTTTCTATTCGTCAGGAAGGATAACCTTGCAGGTGAGCGTGCCAGTGGAGGTGTAGGCCTCCTCACCTCACTGGATTATCCCTCAAATGTACTTCCTTTGACGACATCCCTCCAAGTTGTCGCTACTCAAAGCCAATTTTGATATTGTTGTTCAGTGGTTTCTCTGTATTTGCCTCCAAATGAGCACATTGATCAGCAAGATTTAAATGATCTCAATAGAGCAGCTGCCTGAGCCTTTATCATAATAGGAGATTTTAACGGCTATAGTCCGCTCTGGGGTAGTAAAGATACAAATTGCCGAGGAAGACAAATTGAGCAGATGATCGAAGATCATAGCCTTTGTCTCCTGAATAATGGGCATGATACGTACTTCCATGAGCCTTCAAGGACATTCCACGCTCTCGACCTTGCCATCTGTTCACCATCTCTGTTGCCATTTTGCACTTTTAGTGTCGGAAATGATCTGTACAACAGCGATCATTATCCCATTTTTGTGTCTCTTGCACGAAGAGGAGCAAACCCCATGTCGAGACTCCCTCGGTTTATACTGGACAGGGCAGACTGGGAACTCTTCTCTTCCATTGCAGAGCTGACAGATGAAATGGTAGAAGATGCGCATATCGATGACGCTGTTGAAGCTGTTACTAATACTATTATTCAGGCAGCTATGCTTTCGATTCCTAGAACATCAGGAAAAATACTAAAATATTCGAAACCATGGTGGAATCGCGACTGTCATGAAGCACTGAAAAAACAGAAAAAAGCATGGGGTATTTTTCGTAGATATCCTACTCTGCGAAACCTCATAGCATTTAAAAGAGCCAAAGCAAATGCACGAAAGTAAGAAGGCAGAGCCAGAGGGATTCCTGGATTTCATATGTGTCCTCAATAAGATCCTCAACACCTAGTAAGCGGGTTTGGGAAAGAGTTCGAAAAGCATGCGGAATATATAAAGACCACTCACTTTCCTTTTTGGAAAAAGATGGCCGAGTGATTAGCTCTATAGAAGAAATTGCGAATACTATTGGTGAGACATTTGCTGCCGTTTCTTCCAGCAGAAACTTACTCACCTGCATTTCTCTTCTATCAAGCAACGCTCTGAGAAAAATCCCATCGCATTTCAACTCTTCCAACTCTGAGCCTTACAATAGAGACTTTACTATGCTTGAATTAAAGAGAGCTTTGTTGCAGACACATAGGTCTTGTCCGGGTCTGGATGGCGTGTATTATGAAATGCTAAAGCATCTGTCCTATAAGTCACTGAGTGCCCTTCTCACACTTTACAATAGAGTGTGGAAGGAGCGTACTTTTTCCCAGTGCATGGAGGAGAGCTGTTGTATTAAAGAGTTGCTTTCCTTTCTTACGATGTGTCGGTTGGTTTTATTTGGTTTAGTCTGCGTGCCTATTGATGTTTGGGTGGCAATGCTACGTTTTTTTTAACTGCATGGCATAATTTTTTGATTGAGCTGTAGTTTTCTGGCTTCAGTATACGAGAGTTCCTGGTACTTAAGATCTGTACTTCTTTTTCGGATATCCATTTTGGGCACAGGCGTGAAATGCTGGTGCTGACCCTTGCAATTTATACACGAAGGCGCAGCGGTAAAATCTAAAATTCTTTTTCGGAATCGTGGGCACAGCCAATCTGTGAGCATCGGGCGCATGTGAGGCTGCCACGACAAGACGTCTTAGAATGGCCGAAACGCTGGCATTGGAAACATCGCATAGGGTTTGGAATATAAGGTCTTACAGGAATATTTAGATATCCGGCCTTAATATTCTTAGGCAGATCAGGCGTGTTGAAGGTAAGGATCACGTGTTTCGTGTCTATCAACTTACCTTCTTTACGCATCTTGATCCGCCTTACACTGCAGACATTTTCTTCGGATAACTCAGAAGCGATCTCTTCTTCAGAAACATACAGAAGGTCGAATTCTGAGACTACACTCCGACAATAGTTCAGTGACTTATGTGCTGTTACATTGACATTCGCTTGCCCAAGTTTAGTTATCTGAAGTAAAGAAGCAGACTGGGTGGCTGCGTTTGTATCAATAAGCAAGTCTCCGGAGCGGAGACGCTTTATATTTCTCGGCTCACCAATACAAGACTGGATGTATTTGTTAATCACGAAAGGAGACATCTTATGCATTTCGCCAGAAGGACTAGAGATGACTAGGAAACGGGGACTATTGTTATGATTTTTTTTATTTGCATCTGTCCGTAATTTTTTGCAGAATTTTCAGAACTAGGTTGAGTGACTGGTTTAGTAGTAGACTTTTCAGAACTAGGTTGAATGATTGGTTTATTAGTAGATGGTTCAGAGCTGGGGGGTGAGTGAGTGAGTGATTATGGCGCAAAACCAGAGATGATTATGACGCGCCAAACAAAAGATAAGATGATTACAATTGATGACATTAAAATTCAATAAATAAAAACAAGTAGATAAATGTACCAAATCCAGAGGATGAAGTCATATAAACACAAGTTAAAAGCACATATTAAAATTCAAGACACAGTCTTCAAAACAAATTACATTTGGTAATAAAAGCCAATATCTTTTAAATAATAAAATAAATTACAATTGACCTCTCTTCCGATTAAACGGTCGAGAGGTAAGTCACAGCTATTAAAATATTTCTGGCGAAGACTATTAAAACATGGACACTCAATTAAAATATGACGAACAGATAAACAAACATTACAGTTAAAACAAACAGGCTCATTTTCAGCTTTTAAAAGGTAGTTATGTGTCACTCTAGTGTGACCAATTCTGAGGCGAGTCAAAAGAACTTCCTCCTTACGATTTTGGTTAATTCCCAGTGCTCAATTCTAGGTTTTACATGTCTTAATTTATTTTGAAGCTGAACATCCCAAAGTTTGTTGCCATTTTTTTCGGATCTTT